AGGGGTGTTTCTGATGGTGGCCGTGAAGAAGGCGATAATTCTGGTGGCGGCGGCGGCGCTTTTGGTGCCGGCGGTGGTTGCGGTTCTTTGGAATATTGCTTGGGGAAAGAGGGGATTGGTAGGGTTTGTGCGGAGGCATCCGGACGCTGAGCTCAGAGGTGCTATTGATGGACAGTACGTCAAGGTCACTGGGGTAATTTTCTCTCTCGCTTTCAGATTATTATAATCAAATCTTTGTTTATTAAGTTAATGAGCTTTTTAATTAAAAATAATAAATCATCAATTGATTAATTATTCTACGTTTTATGGCTAATCATGGAGCATTTTTTCCTTTCCAATGTTTATTATGTAACTTCATTGGTATTATGCCACAGGATGGAATAAGTCAATACGATGCTGACTGTTTGACAATACTCTAATAGTTTAGCTTTTAAAAAGAAAAAACAAAATCAAAATTGAAGGCTTCTGAGTTCTGATTATGAGGGTGGGTGGTCGGACAAAATCAATCTAAATCTTTGACGAGGAATCCAAATTTGGCCTTTATAATCTTCCCGGTGAATATATTGTTTATTTTATTTGGGTTTGTATGATGGTTAGTAAGGCTTCATGTCGATCTCCTGGAAATCAGTATTTGTTTTGTAGTCTTGCTTGATTCCACTGTGGCTTTGAATGCGATGATTGTTTTGTCAGTTTTCAATGAAAGGAAACTTCTTTGAGGTTTTGTAATCCGTTTGACCATCCAGTGGCAATAAACTTCCTTCTCTAAGGTTTGAAGAACGAGTAGGTTTGAAGAACGAGTAGCTTCGACGATGGTTATTTCAGTACTTGTTCAACTGAAGCTTTGAGTTCTCTTTATAAACTTTCTACATTGTTTCAATTATATTGCTTAGTTGAAGTATTTGGTGAAATACTTGCTTACTTTCTGGGCTTCCTGATAATCCATATTTGTACTAGTTAGAAAGGGATTAGTTTAAAGCATATTTTGAACTCCAAAATGTTTTTGGAAAGTTCAGATAGTGGTCTCAATCCATATCTGGTGTTGGTCGTCACCATCTGGTGACATTGACAAGAAATTATTGAGAGACTTAATGATGAAAACAGACCAAAGGAAAAGTCACTTCTAATCATTCACATCACATCAATCATAACTGTCTAGAAATTCAATATAGATCAGTAGACCAGCTTCAGCAGTTAGGTAAGCCATCCTGGACCTGCATCAACACCTCACCACCAGCCGTAGATTCATATCTTCTTACGAACGAACCTGCAACTTCATTTCGCATAGAAAACCTGTTAGGTGATCCTGGATCTCAACCGATGAAAACCCAAAGTCCATGTCCAACCCAGTCATCCATCAGCCAGCCTCCTTCCAATAATAGAATAAGGAAAACGCGAAGTTCTCTTTTTCCTTTTCTTTTGATCTATATCCAAAAGAATCAAGAAAAGAGCAACCGCCTTGGGGCAAGAGTAGAGAAAATCCTCGCCTGAAGACTAATTAAAAATGAATTTTCTATGGTTGGAATACCACCGTGAAGCTATAGAAAATTCTTTATGCAAAATTCATAGTCGGCCAGGTGGTTTCCTTGCTTCTCTCCCGCTTAGATGTGTTGCTTGGCAATTGGAAAAAACAGACACAATTCTGGCTGCTAAGATGATCATGTATATACTTACTTTTAGTCAAATTTATATAAAATGATTTGGAGGTAAAGATGTGTAGGCTTTTTAAAATTAAGACCCAGTGTACATTTTTGGTTATGTGCTAGAAAGCTAAAAGATTCTTGGGTATTTATGAACAATTTGTCATGTTTGACTTGAAATGAAGGGAAAATCCATTTAATGACTGTGATAGTTTCTTTAAACTGTGCTCTCACCTAATGCAGACTTTGAATTTGTCATGCATCTCACTCTTGTATACCATTCTGGTCAGATATTGAGTATCATATGCATCCCTTTCTCTTCTAGGTTGTCACGTGTGGTAGTATTCCTCTAGAATCATCCTACCAGAGGGTTCCAAGGTGCGTTTACGTGTCCACTGAACTGTATGAATACAAAGGATGGGGTGGAAAGTCTGCAAATCCTAAACACCGCTGCTTTTCTTGGGGATCTAGATATTCTGAGGTCAGTTGTTCTCATACCACTTTGTTTGAAGTACTTTTCAGACTTGATGGATTGTTTATGGCTATTTCTAATTTGCACAGTATTGAAATGGTGTAAAACTTTAATAGATCATGCAAGGCACATTATTGCACCTTTTGTTTATGTGCACATGCATCTGAACTATGTGGTGGATAAAATGTTGCCTAAAGTTTGGGGATGCAGACAAATTTTCCTGATAGCTCTGTGCACATTGTATACATTTTCTTATAGTAATACAGTATGAAAACATTTACACACCGTATTCTTCACCAGCTATGTTTTGTTTGGAAAGAAACTTGTCTGCATCTCCGCATATATGACGAGTTATAATGGGTTGGATTTTGCACATTTGATACAGAGATATGTAGCTGACTTTTACATATCAGACTTCCAATCTGGGTTAAGAGCACTGGTGAAAGCAGGCTATGGAGCCAAGGTTGCTCCTTTTGTAAAACCAGCCACTGTCGTAGATGTGACAAAAGAAAACCGAGACTTGTCTCCAAGCTTCCTACGCTGGCTAGCGGATCGCAAGCTCTCAAGTGATGACCGTGTAATGCGCCTTAAGGAAGGGTATTACACCGACACCTTGTTTTTCAAATCTCTCTATTTTTGCCTTGTGCACATTCACTGTCTAGAGCATGATCATAATGCTACCCCATTCGTTCAAAGTCTGATGAAACCTAAACACTTCTTCGCCATTCTCAGATACATAAAGGAAGGAAGCACCGTGAGTGTCATGGGGGTTGTTCGGCGCCAAGACAATGTGCTTATGGTAGTTCCATCAACCGAGCCCATCTCTTCAGGATGCCAATGGGCTCGGTGCCTCCTCCCGACCTGCGTCGAAGGTTTAATCATAACATGTGACGATAATCAGAATGCAGATGTGGTTCCCGTGTAGTTATGGCAGCACTTTCATCTCAAAACTTTCGAGTAAACAACATCCCAAGGATGCAAAAACGACTTCCCATGCTCCACAAGATCTATATATCTGCCACTTTTATTTTCCAGGTTCTAAGTTTATGCCCAAAAAAATGTATGTAAGCTGGCGTAGAAGATGCAAAGCAAAAGAATGCTGAAGATCAGGTAATAAACAAGTATTATCTGTTCCATGGAGTTACCGTGCATTAAGAACGAAGATGCTAATCGAGTCCAGAAGCCGGAAGACTCTTCTTCTTAGCATCGCTGTGCTGTGTTTTTTTTTTCTCTTTTTAATTTTGACTGATTATATTATGTACATAAAACTCGTTCCCCAAGGGAAATCCCACGTGAGTCAGTATTTTTATGCTTCTTCCCGTCACAATCGCTTCGATATCTTGTGTTTTATTATGAACTAAAAGATATTCGAAATTCTCCTACCTGGGCACTGAATGCATTCTCCTCCGGACCTCCCAAATTCTAAATTCCGATGAGCATAAGAAAATGGATTTCTTTTCTTTCCATAGGCGAATTAAGCATCCGATTCAGCTCAAACAACTACTACAGGCCATCCCAGTTTAATGCAATAAAAATATCTTAGAAAAGGACGTTTTAATTTCGAAACCGTGAACGATGGAAAGAGCGCAAGTAGAGAGATATTATCCGGGAATCAAAATCAAGAAATAGACTTTTTACGATATGAAACAGAGAAGAAAATTTTATTCGATCGAAGAAGAGAACAAGAATGTGGACGAGCAACAATCGAATCGCCAACCAATAACAAATGACGACTGAAACGATATCTCGGCCTTCGTTTTTCGCTATACCTCGCTGTTCTTCGCGGCGCAAGAGACGATCTCGAGCGCCGTTTCATTAGTGAACAGAGGCTTTTGATTCCGGACAAAAAATTTAAAGAAATTACAAGAAAGAATTTCATGAAGAAGAAGAAATATGAGAGATTTGAAGTAAAAGAAAACGCATTGGGACGATTAGAAAGCGCTGGCCATGGCTTGATGTGAAGCAGAAAGCTAACGCAGCTCCCTCTGCAATTGGATCTCTTATGCCCTCTGCTCTCAGTGGCAAGAACCGCATGAATTTATAGCGGCGTGCATCGTTCCAAGAGCGGCGCCAATTCTATTTCTAATCCTAAACCCTAGCAAAAATTTCTCCCCTTAATTACCATCATACCCTTCCTCCATGACGATGAATTGATGATAGCGTAACGACATGTCGGCCGACTCTCTCTTTTTTTTTTTCTCTCTCTCCCCCAATGGAGTGGACATGGGAGTGATGGTTACTATATAGTGGTCACATTCATAATTCCTCATCTTCACGGGTGGATTTTCATTATGTCTTGTCATTAATTTCAAAGTTTTATGATCATGATTTTTTAAATCTTTTTGAAGGGTGAAAGATGGTAATCACTTCTCGCATGATAAGTTAATATTTCTTATTTCTATTTTTAAGAAATATGCGTCATTTATTTATTAAGTTCTATTGTTTCTAAAATGATACGTAAATACTTTAAAAAATATAATCGACTTAAATTTAACTCAATTAATTAAGATATTTTTTATTAATTTAAAATTTTATCTTGCGACCACTTTGTTGTACTCGATTAAAAGATATACCTGTATTCCTTTCTAATTTTATTTTCTACTTTTCATTAAAATTGCTATTTGTGTTGTCAAAAAGAGCATAACTGCTATTGTATTATCTAAGAATTATGCAACGAGCACCAATTTGAATATTGATCAATTGGTCTCTAAAATTAAATGTTTAAATCTTCACTTCACCAACAAGTTTAGAAACTAATTATGTACTTTTTGTTTAAAGCCTAAACAGACATAACAAAACTTGCTATGAAGCTTATAATTATAACAAATGTTGTCAAAGCATATCCTATAATCTGATGAGTCTCATCTCATAGTAATCCGAACTTTGGCACTTAGAAGTAAACTTTGATATCCGACAAAGAAATGCATCAAATTACATCATCATATAACATCTTGAGATCATCTACTCTTTTTATTAGAGTACCTGATATATAAATATTCTTCTATGTATTCCATTAATAATAAAGTATACATATATACACACATGCGGTATACTTAAATAACTTAAATACATTTAATACCTTTTTAGCTCGAAAAGTTCAAATCTTCACTCATACGCACTCCAAGTAGCATCATTTGCATTTATTCCCTCCACCTTTATTTTTTAGTCTAATTAAATTCCCATGTTTTTTAAATTTTTGGATTCCTTCTTAAAGGAGCAATAAGATTACCATCGATGTAACAAACCATCTAATCCTTGGCAGAGTGAGAATAATGGCAGTTGTCAATGAAGCTATCTCATTTTTGGCCTTTGAGAGACTGTGAAAGTGGAAAATTACTGAAGCTGCATTATTTTAAGCCCCATCGAAAAGACCATTAGATTACCAAATTTAGAAGTGCTGCTGAGCAAAGGATAACGATGAAGTAGTTATCAATCCAACTAGGGAATCTCTGCATTATTGGTTGCCTCTCCCTTCTCTAACTTTTTCATTTTTTACGTCCTTAGCTTTTTCACCACATTTTTTTTTTCATTTTCCTTCTTCTTCTTCTGGGTAATTGCATTATCTTGTGAGATTTTCAACAAGTTTTTTGTCTCTTCTCTCTTCTACTTAAAGCACTCACAAGTGGGGTCTCTTTTGCCCTTACGTTTATGTTTCTTATTGGCTTGAGACTCAAAATAATGCAAATTAAAAGGGAAATTAAAGGCAGAGCATGCAATTTGTAAGTATACAAAACTCATCCAGTCTCAATAATAACTATATTTTTAAGAAACAAACGAGACACACGTAGTACAGTACAAAGTCCCCACATATATCAATTATTTAAAACTATTCATGGCTCCCAAACGGCTATCATGTTGTTTCAAAAGGCAAAAATTAAAAATACGGACTGTTCCCCAACACTGAAACATCAGCCACTAATATACCACTAAAATTTGTTTCTTCTAATAATAAATTACCCACAAACCTGACCAAATTCTTTTACCCTTTTTTTTTTCTTTTTGTTGTGTGTTTTGGGCTGCAAATTGGAGGGCTCACACAGTTGCAATCGGACCCAAACTGTGGTTGCTAATGCTGGACTCCATGGCCTTCATGGCTTCAAATCTCGGCTCTTTTGCTTGAAATTTGAGCCCCATGTAGAGCTTCATGTAATCGTCGAACACAAATTTTGGGTAAAGTTTGCTCTTTTCTTCCTCCCCCTCCACCAGCGCCGGCGCCGGGTAGATTATGGCGTCGTTTCCCGGGTTGTAGAATGACGCTATCGACATCCTATTTCCGTCCGCCTGCGCTATCACCCGGTGCATCACGCTCTTATATTTCCCATTCGTAATTACCTACCGTTGAAGAAAAAAACATTTCAAATCTAAAATCTAACTCCGCCCATTAATTTTGAGATAGAAACGTATGAATATTAATAAATAGACGTACTTCGAGCTGATCGCCCAGGTTGATGACAATGGAGTGATGCATAGGGGGGACATCCACCCATTTGCCGTCCTTAAGAAGCTGAAGCCCACTGACTTTGTGGTCTTGGAAGAGGAGGATGAGCCCACCAGCGTCGGTATGGGCTCTCAGGCCCTTAATAAGGTCGGGCTTTGGGCAGGGAGGGTAGTTGCTAACTTTGGTCCCAAAATTTGGGCCGTTGGACCCATAAAAAGCCCGCTTGAGATACCCCTTTTCGAGCCCAAGATTTTGGCAGAGCAAGTCCAGTACCAGCTCCGCCAGTTTCTCCAGCTCCGCAGCAAATTCCTTCATGGCGGTCCTGTAATCCTCGTCCAGATCCGGGATTTCCGACATGTTGGAATTGGGAAGGTGGCGCAGGAAGAACGTGCTCTCCCAATCTGTGTCGTTGATCTCACAATCAACGGCGTCCAGGCCTCTGCTCGCCACCATTTCTTTGAACCTCTGCTCCATACACTTCCTGTAGTGCTCCTTCGTCAGCCTCTCCACTCTGTCCATCAGCTCGTGCGATACCCCATGATTCACCAACTTCAAAACACCCACGCAACATATAAATAAAATAATTGATCAAAATTTAATCTTTTGTTCATACTTTGAACACACGATACCTCGAAAAAGCCCCAGTTTTCGCAGGCGTCGTTGATCCTCTCCATGGCAGCGTCTCGCTCTTCACCATTGAGCTTCTCCATGTCGATAACAGGGAAACCCATCTCCATTTTTTGGTTCTGTGTGTAGAAGTTAGTAGTGTGGGAGTGATGAGTGTTTTTTGGATGTGGGTAGGTGCTGAGCTTGGGGGGATGCTATTTATAGAAGTGATGGGGAGGGAGGGGGAAACAGGGAATAAAAGAAAGTTGAAATTTTTACCAAAGGTAGTGGGAGTTGGGAGAAATTGAGGGAAAGATTTGGAGTGTTGTGAAATATTTCGTTAGTTTAATGGAAAAAAGCAGACAAAAAACAGCGATGGAATATCAAGAAAAAGCACTTTTAAGTTAAACTAAACCAAGCATTTGAGAAAGGAAAGGAAAACGACATTGGAGAATATGGGAAGATAAATTTATATGGATTAATGGACTAATCGTTTTGGGTTATTTTTCTCTCTATATATATTCTAATTGTAGGCATCGAGTTCGTTGGTTTAGATGTGCATCTTTCATTAGATTGTGTAATGCTAAACCTAATCTTAGGTAAAGTTTTTAATTAAAAGTAAGTTTAAAGGGAGAGAGCAACCGTGGTGCATGTGATCGCATCCTCAAGTGGGCCCCTACTCTACTATCTTTGTTGTGTGGTCGTGGAGGTGGGCCATGCTTTTATGACTGTTCTTGTTCATGCTTTTTTACTGTTTCTGGTGGGACCCACATTTTTACCTCCCCAAGCGACACTTGTTTAACTTTCACCCAACTTCATATTTTTCGAGGAAACTTCTAGTACGACGACACTAGTTCAACTTGACATCGTGTTAAATATTGTGTGAGTACATTTATATTAAAAGAGGATAGTGTGAATCAATAGAAAAAAAACTTAATTATTGTAAAAAATAACATGGTAATTGACACATATCTCTCTCAACAAATTTTTTATTTCGTTCTCTATTCTCATAGGTTAAAGCTTAAGGAAAATGAAAAAACTTAATTATTAATTGAAATAACTTTTGTGATTTTATTATTGAAATATTGTTTAATGTGGCTGCCATATATTTTTTTTAATGCATCTTCAAAATTTTTTATTTTTACCGTAGCTGCTTGACGTTCAGTTAGGGGTAGTCTTATGAAAGAATGGAATTCAGCTTTTTAGATAAATCAATCAAACTACCTTTTTCCACTTTATCTCTGTGTCATTCTTTTGGGTGTCTTTGTTTTATCTTAATTTTGGCAACAAACCCACTTCCTTATTTAATAAATATAATATTAACATATTAAACTATTAGTATTAGTATTACTATTACCAACCAAAATTAACGCATTTCCCACAACAAACGAAACATTATTCAACCAAAAAACAACAACTCACACACCTCCTTTCACATTTTAAAACACAACAAAATTCCACTATTTTGTAACCAAAATTCTCTCTTTAGTTATTTTTATTAATTTTATGTATGAATAACTTTCTTAAATTGTCTAACATCCTCCATCTTAGAGAGAGTAATTATGTAATACAATGAGAAGGATAGTATGATATAATTTTTAAAATAGAAAAAAAAAAGTATAAAGTCATCTTACAGTTTTTACTAAGGGTAATTTTATAGTGGATATGGATTTATTAGGGGTTGTTTTTATTATTAATTTTCCATTAATTTAAGCTAAACAATGGGCTAATGATTTCAATTATTCCTGTGGGCTTCCGCGGAGTTGACTCACCACTAGACCCTTGGTCAAACTGTTGAAATATTTTTTAAATTTTTAAATGAAGTAGGCATGTTTCGGATTAGGACAACCTTCATCACGGTCTGCTAGTAATTAATCTTTGTTGAACTTATAATTAAGTAGTTATTTATTCATTTGACCAATACATTCCAAAGTTTTAGTAATTAATTAAATTGGGATCTCAACCATTGGGTAACAAAATTCATGTGGGTCTGTGGCAAACAAAACTCTGCCTCCACCGTGCACTCCATAATTAAGATTTAATAATATTATAACCATGTAATTAGGTTTGTGGAAAATCATATCAATATATAAAGCAATATAATTCTTTTGATAATAATCCACAATAATCTCCATTAGGAAAAACTCACTTATATTTTCACAATGATTAAATCCCCCGTTTCCATTATCTCCCTTTACATATCATTATAAATAATATAATTTCAATTTTTTTTGGTCGAAGAACAAATAATTAATTAATTAATTAATTAATTATCTGAAGACTAAATTGTAATACCATCCCGAGACTCTAGAGTAAAGTTTACATTTTTTCTAACAATATAAATGGAAAAAGTTAATATCCTTGACATTAAAGACGACATTGCAATAGTTGATTAAATTAAAGAGTTGAATGACTCCGTCCATAATTAGGTAAAATAATTCAACTAATACATTGAAATAATATTAAACATACTAACGAACAAAAGATGCTAATTTCATTTGGGAAAAAAAGTAAAAGACTTTTTGTACAAGAATATTTTATTAAAACGGTATGAGATTAGGTTTATAGACGATCATCAGTGGTCAAAATTCCAACTTTATGAAAAGAAACTTTATTTTTTGGGGGGGAAAACAAGAAAACTATTCCAAGGACGATCACAGGTATTGTATTCATTGAACTTTACGAAATATGTTATATATTATAATTATTCAGACAGATCATTAGCTTTTCCAAACGCGGCCTAACATGTATTGCTATTTGAAACAAAAAGGAAGAGAAAAATTAAGAAAAAAGAAAAAAAAAAGAAAAGCTGGAAATTAATTAATGATTCAAAGCCACGCTCATGGAAGCCATTTTGGAGGATGACAGCACATTAATATTTCTACGTACGTCCTTTCATGCCAAACGAATATTTCTGTGTCCATTAATTATAACTATTCTTGAATATATGAATTAATTATTCCACGTCAATTCCAAATAAACTCATCAATGTCGTACTCTAATTATTGCCACTAAATATAAAATAGTGCATATATTGGTATTTCCTCCAAGTAACGAGATATTTAATTCACATTGAGTTCAATCTCATTTGTAGATTTTTATGGCCGGCTTCTGAATTGGATAGAAAAATGAGTTGCAATAAATCTATATCTGTGTTGTTATTATAAGGCTAAAGTTTCAATAATCTTCCCCTGTAGCATCACCAAACCTATGAGTTGGTAATCATTTTCTTTAAAAATTACGTTCACCTACGTGTTACTTTGTTATGTTATAGACATAAATTTTTATAAATATTTTTAAATTTTGGTTAAGAATTCAAATATATTTTTAAAAGACAAGAAAAACACAAAAACCAACCTAACTTTTAGAAATATAAAATTTATAAAATGAAATAGTTATCCAAAGACACCTAAACTTATTTTAGGTATATGTATTTTAACACTCTTCTTGGTGTAGGTTTAATAACTAATACAAACTCAATAATGAACTATAAAATATTAATCAAGGAGAAAATTGACCATCCTAATTAACATTATCATTTTGAGTTAAACAAATAGCTAGGTGATATAGATCAAACTATATACATTATTAGTTTGTATTTTCAGTGTTATAAGAAAAAAATTGATTAAAAGTATATTATTTTATATTTTATTTATAATTAGAAACTAAAATAGATAGATAATAATATTACAGTATATATACTTATATTTATATGAAAAACGTGAGGGTTTCTAAAATGGGAGGTCTTAGAAAATCATCTTATTCAATCCCTAATTTAAGTATAGTAAAAATTAAACATGGTATGTTCAAAGTTGATGCTTTTAAAGTATACAAGTTGAATTCGTGGGGGGGTTTGAAAGTGATAGGAGAAGATTAAGGATGCAATGAGGTTGGAGAATAAAGAAAGATGGGGACCTTATGAAGGGTTTTGGATTCAAGTTTCAGGTTCCATGAATTCTCTCTCTTTCTGTTGTCTGCAAGTGTGATTTTCCCAATGTCTAAACACACATCAAACAATTCCATATAATTAATAACTTTCTTCTTTTTTTTTCTCCCTCTCTCTCTTTTATCAAAAGAACAAAAAAATGGTACAGCCACTTGAAGAAGCAAAGCCAAAGCAAGCGGTCATTGATGGAAGATTGTCGTGTAATATATGATGTTTTCTTGAACCGAACTTTTTAATTTCCGATACGTAATCCATCACTATGGGTAGCTGCTGTTTCTTCTGCTGCTAATTTGCTTTTTTATTATTATTATTATTATTATTATTATTATTATTATTGTTTTTGTTATTCACCACTGCCCCTCCTAGTCGACTCAATATGCCCCATCTCCCTTTCTGTCTCGTGCAATGTAAATATGTTTTTTCGTTTTCAATTACTTTTTTCTTTTTATGAGTATATGTATGGAGTTAAACTCACACCCTATTGGTCGAGGGCAGAGATGTATGTGAGTATATTCCGACTTTTTCGTTTTTAATTTTTGAAGGGAAGTGTTTGATGGTAATAATAATTATTTTCTATTTTTGAAAATTAAGCTTAGAAATATTATTTTTAAGTTTTACTTTACCTGTTTCTTTTTTTTTTTTTTGGTTTGTTATACAGTTTCTATTAACATTTTCAAAATTTACTCCAAATTTTGAAAACTAAAAAGAAAAAAATATATAATTTTTAAATAGTGGTTTTTATTTCTAAAATTTGATTAAGAGTTTAAATGTATGGGTAAGAAATGTGAAAACATACCACTTAAATGGGGACAAAACGAGCGTAACTTTTAAAAATTAAAAATTAAATAGTTATCAAGGGTCTCCAAATTTTTTGCTTTTCGTTCCAGTTTCCAGTTTTTTTCTTCTAAAACATATATGAAAGGATTGTTTTATCATTTTTGACTTATAAAATGAATAATAAATATAAAAGTAAAAGATAACATAAACATTTTCAATATTTAATTAAAAATTTAAATAACTAAAAACAACAAAATTTCTATTTCTTCCACAAAATAAGAAATAAGAAACACAATTATCGAATACATTTTTATTTTTAATTATTAAAAAGTGGAAACAAAACCAAAAAATGGAATTGGAATTGGAATTGAATTTATTCCCTAAAAGAAAAAAAGTTTTGAGTGAGTGGGCATTTTCTGGGTCGGTTGCTGTTTGGTCTCCGAGAAAATCATTTTCCATCTGAATCATAACTCTGCTTCACCCATTACTTCACATGACATGTTCCACTCCTAAATTAAACACCAACTCTATACTCCACTATATATATATATATATTAATATATACCACAATTCCAAATTCCAAATTCCAAATTCCAATTTAT